AAAACACGCGCGATAAAGGTAGGTTCATCTTTTATTCATGCTCTAAACGGATGTGAGGGCTCCCTGTGCATTTGCGCACTGTACAGCTGCTGCGTTTTCAGTCGAAAGAGCATTACACTCACTTGTGAGACAACTGCACTCACTGTCCAAACTCTGAGAACTGAGATTTCCCCGTCTGTGATCAGGCTGCCTTCCAGGGTACAATGAAGCCAGTTTGCAGCAGGGTTCGACCATAGATATTTTCACTTTTCTTCAATTCTTGTCCTTTGGAAGCCCAGCCACTCTCGTTCTCCAGTAGTTAGGGGGCACTGAAGTAGACCAGAAGATCAGCCACTGGCATGATTTGGTCATCGCCACTGTAATTTTCTTCATGAAGCCTAAACCTTCCAGACAAGTCCCGTCCACTGTTTGCGAAACTAGGAAAAGACAAACAAACAAACAAGAACGTGGCCAGACATAGTAACTCGCCCTACGATAGCATTTTGACCACACTTTCACAGTCGTCAGCTTTTAGGAACTTGCGTAACTGTTGACTCGTAGCTGATGCTTGGAGTGGACTCCATCGTACAGGATGCCACGTACACACGAAGGAACCACAGACCAGACGGTAGCCGTCCGCACAGTGTTTGCATTGACGGTTAACTAAATCAGTGAAAGACTTTGCTTGGTTCCTTCTGAGGATGCAAGCACACGTTAAGTTATGCTAGTTCATGGCGTACCCGCGAACATAGAACTGGTGGCGAATTGCTAGACTCGATCGTCGCAAGTCGGCCAGAAACACCGGGTTCACGTAGTCATGACAAGAAGTACACGAAGATCCGTGAACATACCGTAAACAGGCCAGATGACAGTCAACCAATAGGTCTGTATGTCAATCAGTCAATTCGTCAGTCAATGAATCAATCCGTCCGACCATCAGTAAGTCAATCCGTCACTAAGCCAATCAGCCTGTCAGTCTGTTAGCCAGCCATCCAGCCAGTCAGTCAGTCAGTCAGAACTAGTTATGTAGTCAGCCAGTTGGTTGGTCGGTTGGTCGGTCGGTGAGTCAATCAGTCTGTCTCGATCTTTCAGTCACTGATGAGTCATGATCGGTCAGTTAGTCAGTTTGTCATTCAGTTTTTCTGTCTGTCTGTCTGTCTGTCTGTCTGTTAGTTGGCTGAGTCATGATTAGTCAATCAGTCAGTCACTCAGTCAATCAGTCGATCATGCGATATGTCGATCATTCAGTCAGTCAGTTTGTCATTCAGATTTTCTGTCTGTCTGTCTGTCTGTCAGTCAGTCAGTCAATCAGTCAGTCAGTCAGTCAGTCAGATAGTTAGTCAGCCCATTTGTCAGTTTATTAGCCAATCCGTCCGTCAGGCAGCACGTATACAATTATTTTATGAACAGCACAGTCCAACATACGTCATCATTGTTGGAACAACGTTAGTCTGCGCTGTGTAGCACCTATGCAGACAACATTTTTGTTAGATGATAGCTTGCTTGCGAGCCGAACAGTTCATCGCATATCCGTCAAAAGCATTTTGTTACATGCGTTGTTTGTCCTGGTCATCATTACAATGGCACGTGCTTAGATGAAACTGGAAACATCAAATGCCCTAAAGATACGTGCGTGAGTTTCTGCCAACACAGTTTAGATTTGAGTTGAGAACATTAGATGGAACGTTTGATTTCAATTATTTTACTGTATGGGAGAATCTTGACCGCGGTCGTGAGTACAGACCGAACGCAGTGAGGTCTGTACACACGACCGAGGTCAAGATTCTCCCATAAGAACCGACTTAGCTCGGTTAATAAGATGTTTATTATATGGCAAAGAACAAAACTTTAATTCGTTTAATGTAA